GAGAGAGAGAGCCCTGTCACGTTCTATTGGACACGTGGTGCAGCCCCCAACCTGTCTGGTGGAAAACTCTCTCTCTGGCAGTGGTAGTAGTAGTAGTAGCAGCAGCAGCACTCGTAGTAGTAGTAATGGTAGTGGTAGTGGTAGTAGTGGTAGTAGTAGTAGTAGTCGTACTAGTAGTAGGAAAAGTAATAGCAGTAGTAACAGTAGTAGTAGCAGTAGTAGTAGTGCAGGGAAGAACCAAAACCTGGGATTCACAAGGGAAACAATACTCTGACTGGGTTTAAGCTGCAATTGGTGTTTTATTTCTTTCAGTTACAACATAAAGTCTTTAAAGAGTAGTTCATCATTCAGCTCCAGAAGTTCGGGAACAGTATAGATTCCAGCACACAGTTTGAAAAAAAGGACATCGGGTTCATGCAATGGATCATTCGTTGACTTGTGCCCTTGTGCCATGGGCTTTTGTTTGTGCTCTGTGGTGCTTGCTCTTGTTTTGTCTTATGGACAACAGCGGTGGGCCGGTTACGATCCTATCCTCTTCTGGGGGTGGGCGCATCCAGGTTGGCGTCGTGTCCGGCGGTGAAACGAACTCTTGTTTAAGACCGCAGTATTTTGGACGCATCAGCGCCGTGCTAGGCTGGATGGAGAGCATTGTGAAGACGCCACTGGGGAGTACATATCCCGCATCACCAACTTTGAGCTGTGATGATTGTCTTTGGGATCCTGTTCACGCAGGTCCCCACCGTCGTCGGGCACTACTGGCAGAGGCAAGCATGGGGAGTGAAGAGAACCCTGGCGTGACCCCAATGCCTGAACCAGACCCAGTGCAAGAACACTGTAACAGCGTGGAGCAGTATAGCCTCCATCAAGCAGCGATGGAGTCAATACTGGCGGCTGGGTTCCGATTGGATTTCAGCAAAAGCGGCAAGCAGCTGGAGGCTTTCTTCGATTTGGACCCCACGACGTATGACAAAAAGTTTCAGAAGGACGTGGATCGTTTGCGCGAAGGTGAAGTCCTTTTCATGCTTTCCAACACAGGGGCTGGTCATACCCAGTACGTTCTCCCAGAGGAGGTGGTTAAGCGTTGTGGAGGATACCAACTCGCATTTCAATGTCCCGCTGAACGGTCCCATTGAGACCTTGACGCTCCAACGCTCAAACGCCTCAAAATGGACATTCAATTGGACCAAGGTAGATGCTTCGCGGCCGCTGCCCAGTCAGCATGCATATGCAGCTCTCTATATTTCCCCCGTACTGGATGTTCCGGGTGATGAACGCGCTCGGTATTACCAGATTTCCCTTCCAAAATATCTCGCCTGACTCCAGAAATAGAACAAACCGAGCAATTAGTGCTGTGATGCTGCTTGCTGCCATGGAACGAACAGAAGAACATATGGTCACATAATAACGAAAAAGCATGGCTTCCCTCCACCCAGCTGTCCGACGATCTTGTCATCATATCATATCCTTAATTGCAGGAACTAATGCCAAGTGAGATAGATGGAATCTTCTGAATCACAGGGCCGGGGGCGGGGGGGGAGGTCGGGGTTCTATCATTTTTCCCACTTAGAAATAGGAAGACTAATGAACAGCTTCATTAATACGCCCGGCTGCGAGCCACTTGCAGACCCATTCGTAGATCTCGTGGGAACCCGGGTGGCAGAACGTTTTGACAGTGCAAAGGTGCAGGTGTGGCCCTTTGGTACAATGTTCGAAGAGGGGGGGTTAAAAAGGAGTTTTTAAGTCTATGATAGATCACTAATCAGGTAGAATGGTCTTTTGGTTAGGGTCAGTCCCGATCAGATAGATTTGAAATTCCAGAGAAAAGCCAAGCTCCATCCTGCAGCAACCAGATGGGTCACGATCAAATTGGAACTACTAGGGGGGTTGTTACCCCCTCTTGAAGAACGGTTAGCACCTCTGAATGAATGGGATGGTGGACTCACTTTCCAGCACAAGAGAAAGCTAGGTTGAATTTGACTTCGGTAATTTCTCCTGGTCGAATTGTGAGGTTCACGGACAAGATTTGAAATAGAAAAGCATGCTTGCTTCAGGTGGATAAAGTGAGCACATTGCCCCTCCCTGGGCCTCCCAAAACAGGACTCTGTAAATTATGCCCTGGAAAATAAGTAGATTACGCCGGCCAGAGAATGTATTGGACTGTCTACGTCCAGAGTCTTCGAGTTTGGTTTCGAGGGCGCCAAGGGGCATGGATTTTTTATCTCGCTGTGCTGCATAAACGTAGGGTGGCGTTTAATGCAATTCCCGGTCTACCGGATTGTAAATCTGGATAGGTATTTCCCTCAGATTCATGATCCTGTAGCCCCGTTGGCGTGGCGGGAAAGCGCTTAATTACTAGTACTTACTATCCTTCCCGATGAGACTGGTGTAAACATTCCAATAGGTTTTCTGGGGGCTGTAATCCACCTCTTTTCCCCTTCTTTTCTTCGTCACCAGATTTGACTCTGATGTAACTTAATTCTCTAGTCAATTCGAGTTTAATACTCTATGAGTCTATGCTGTCTACTTAGTCTTTCCTCAAGTATCTGATCAGACTCATCGGTTTGAATTTGACCAGCGGTAATGGCTGGATTCACTCCATCAAAAACTACTGCATCTGGCTTCAACTGCAACCCAGTTGAGCTCGCGTACTTGGGGTTTTCTTTCCAGCTGCTTTTCTTCCTAATTTGCTTGTTTCGAGAGGAGATGGATAGACAACGGTGACTTCTGTTCTTGTCGGTCCAAAAAGCAACCACTAGAGGATATGTTCAGTCCACGTTGGGGCGTCAGACAGCTCGCAGTCAGATCCGACATATATATGAAGTAGAAAAGAAAGTGCCCTCCTGAAGTTTTCATAGTGTTGCTTCCCGCTTTTGATCGTTTCTGAGTTTGTGTGTTTCATCCTTGCCCAGGAACCATGCTCATCTCCTCTCTCTCGTTCGTATTTCAACCTCCCAACCAGAGAGAGAGAGAGAGAGAGAGAGAGAGAGAGAGAGAGAGAGAAAGAGAGAGAGAGAGAGACAGAGAGAGAGAGGGAGAGAGAGCCCATGCACAAGACAAAAAACCCGTTCACCGTTCACGTGGTCTGTGGACAAAGACCGGTCATGGAGTTCATGGAGTTCACAGCGTAGGAGTTCAAGGAGTTCACGGAGAGCGGGATCTGTTTTTTATTTATTTTCTGAATGTTTTTTTTTTTTTTTTAATAGGAGGGAGGACTAGGCTACCAGCCGGGCCGCCCGCGTCCCGGGTGGCCAGCCCGTGCAAGGACCAGGGAAGGTCCCAGCAAAAAAAAAAAAAAAAAAAAAAAAAAAAAAAAAAAAAAACGGCCATCTGGCATCTGCCTGACTGAACTGCAGTTCCAAACTCCGCTGTGCGACTTTTCTGCAAAGCGGGGTTTTGACTGCTTAGTAAACTCCCCACGGGACTGGAATTAAAAACGACAGTTTGAAATGCATTTAGATACTCAAACCATGACTGCGCCCTAGTTTTCTCTTTTTTTTTAACTCTTTCCTTTGTGCCGAAACTAATCTATTCCTCGGGTTCTTACGACTTGCAGGACGAAGACAGCATCAAAATGGGATGGCACCCAGAACTGGCCCCGTACATTAGGCCCTTTGCTGCATTGAAGTCACCCATAGGGCGTGCACCCCCCCTATGGCTGGGCTTTGCCCTTTCCTAACTTCTAACCCAATAACACTTGTCTGCTAATCGTTTGCTCCTCTCTGACCAAACTCCCTCTACAAACCAGCTAACTCTAAAAAGTTATTGTCCCCGGCGGCTTCTCACCATAGCCAATATGGCTATCTAATCAGCATCTGATGGGACGCTCTTGATTGTGTTGTGCTATGTCTTGTTTCCCATTTAATATGGGATAGCCGTGTTACGTACACACCACCA